ACACACACACACACACACACACACACACACACACACACACACACATATATATATATATATTATCTGGGTATTGCTGACTTGATGGGCTTCATAATACATTACTTGGCCCCTTCAACCGCTTTGTTATCATATCATATTATCAAGAAAAGTAAAAACCGGCTCTTCAGGTAGCCCAGGAAAGCAGCATCTTAATGTCTGTGATAAAACCAGAAGCTTCTACAAAGGGGGGAGGAGAAAAATAAAGAGGAAACATCAGAGTCAACCAGGTTCATATTAATGCACAAACTTATTAGATAGAGTGATCTTAAAGCTCCAAACTGTCTTGGTTTGATATTTTCTACAGCAACAATAATGGTAAAAAAAAATAATATAAACATAACTTTCAAATTTCAAATTTTGCCCATAATAGCTAATAACTTAATTTCTTAAGCCTATTTTTTAACTAAAATTAGAGGGCTAATATGGGTTTTTTACAAAGAGGGGTTGACCCATTGACAATAGGCATGTGGCTCCCTTCCCAGTGGCAAAAAGAAGCTGGGTCTGACCCCTGTCAGACCGAGTGTCTAGTGATACCATCATGCTGCGTTAATATTGATGATGCCACGAGTGAGGCAGAACTCAGGAAAGTAAACAATGCAGTGCAACATGGAAGAGAGCCAGGTCATAGTCAGTGTGCTTTATTTTGATCTTTTGTCTCTGCAAACCCCTCTCCCAAGGTTGCGCCATGTTTATCAAACATTACGCTACCTGGGGCAGAGTTGCACTCAATCACGTAAGTTAGCAGGTGGATCCAGGTCTGCTGTTCCCACTATATGCCAATCGGAGCCAAGCAGTTTGAAGGTGATTTTAATCCAGGTCACTTGCCGAGTCGTTTGAACCGGGTCAACGGGTCACTGAGCTGTTCCCACTACCACAAAAAGACAATTGTTCCAAGGTTTAAACTTTTTTTTTGGTGAGTGGGAAAGGGTATTGGTGTTGTAACTATTGGTCTTATAGACAGCTAGAGCAGGTGTCCTTTGAAAGCAGCTCTATGCTGACATGCAAAATGCCAGTTAGCTCCGTAACGTATCTGACTCACTAATCATTTAAATTACATATTTTTGATTAATTTAAGATGAAACTATTCACATACTTGTATGTGCTTCTTTAGAAGTGGGTGGAGCATCCCAGATTAAGGTTTACCTATGGCCTAATTCAGTGTTTCACTAGTACAGTCTGATTGGAAGTTTATAGCAACAGACTGCTGTTATTTTTCCTCCAGTACTTAATACTGTCCTCAAGATGGTGCCAGAGGTTTGCACTTCTGTCCAATTTCTAATTTACTTTCAGCACTTTCTTTTGGCTTATTTTGTAGCTTCATATGGCAGCAAAATAAATACATTGAATTAATTACCTAATCTTTAATTTATGGTAATGCTATGGTTACAAAAACACTACTTAAAAACGACAAAAAAAAATGTCTATTTCAAAAATGAACTTTGTACTCTGCCTTTGGACTATGTTGCAGGTATATTTCCCAACACATCAAGACAAGACTGTTTTGGGCAATTCTGTTTAACTTTCCTCATCCAGGCCCTTCTTGAAATAATATTGTTAGCCTTTTCAATGCATATTGAATAATTACTTTAAACTTATCTAAAATAATTCCCTATGAAAAGTTAATTGCCCTATTTTCTTATTTGTAATAAAATAAGAGCTACTGGTCAAAGCAGCAGTAAAATGGGGTTTAAGAAGGAGCCTGTCAAGAGGAACTCATTAAAAGTATAGACAAGTAAAACTCTGAAGACAATGTATTTAGATGTAACTCACTTGGAATGATCTTTATTTTGTGAATAATACAAATGAATCATTAAAAAATAAATGCATTTACTACAATTTATAATTTTATAGTTAATAAAAACTATCATTAAGTTATACAAAACTAAAATCAAAACAAAATATCTAAGTTATTTTATCTTGCTTGAACATTTTTATCATCTAAGATTATAAGACTGATGGCTTTTAAATTGGTTTATTGATGACAATAACACCAAGGTTGTTGTTAAAGATAACTTTGCCATCCGACTCTTTGCTGCAGCCAGGATGCCGGAGCAGCTCCAACACACCAGCTTTCAGCTCCGGTGAAGCCACTTTACTAAAATCCAGCACTTCGGTGAGAAAGTCAAGAAGCAGCTCTCCTTTCTCATCTCCCTCTGTGAAACACTCGGTGATGTCCATTTGAGATGGCAGGTCAAAGCTCTGGTAGCTCACTCCCTTTGAGTCCAGGAGGGTTTTGATGTCTCCCGTGGTCACACATTGACTTATTTCAGTGTTGCAGAGCTCATTCCGGTATTTCCGCCACAGCTTTCCCCAGCCACTTTCCCCTTGAACAGATGGAGCAGAAACAGTACTATTGTGTCAGCATGATAACAAATGATTCCAAATGTTTACAGACTGATGTCTAAACCGCTTAGTGTCTTACAAAAATATGCACTGCTTGAAAGTTGTCATGTTGTCACATTACAACCACAAAAGTCTGTATATTTTAATGGAATTGTATGTTCTGGACCAAAACAAAGCATTGCATAGTTGAGAAGGAGAAAGTAAAATAATATATAGTGAAAATGAAACCACAAAAAAGAAAACATCTTAAACTCATAGTGCATATTTGTTTTCAACCTCACAAAACCAAGACTTTTTAGAAATACAGCTTGCGTGAGTATAATTTTGTCTAATGACAGGAGAAAATCTTCTTCTTGTTTGCTGTGTCCTCTACACAGAAAAGTTGCAAAAATAAGCTTTCTTATGGCTTGATCTAAACAACAAAATCCTTCTTGCAAAACTTTAATCACCATCAAGACTAATATCTGTGTTAACAGATTCTAACACCCAAGTCTTCCATAGTTTCCTCTGTCCTCTTTACCCATTCTTTGATGTTCGCCTTGCTGAGCCATCATTTTAGTTGGACAGTAAGGTTGCAGTTGTGCTATACTCCACTAATTTCCACATACAGTACCAGCTGTACTATCAAGGGTAAAATGAAACATGTGAATGCTGTCTGTTGAAAAGATGACTATTAGAAGCAGACTAAAAGGATTAAATACAAATTCAAACACAATTTAGATTATTCCTAAGAAGTTTTTAAATTATGTATGATTCTCCTTATAGTTACTAAATATTACTTCATGATTTAAATTCTGAGTTTTTAAGACGGAAACATTTTAAAAGCCACTATATCCAACGCATTAGTGAGACAGAACAATTGCTGATTTTAATTGATGTCAATCAACTTACC